CCTGCCAGTGGGTAAGATTACCGTATTCCAAGTTACAGTTTCTAATACAAACCAACTTAATTTGTCTATTTACAAAAAAATAAATGTCAGTATGTAAACATACTAGAGAATATTTTAACCCTCCGGTCCTCCTTGGACAAAAAACATCCCGAAGGGGACAGGTGTGATTTTTTTATAAAGGGGGACCGGAGGGTTAAACAAATTAGAAAGATGCTATGAATTGGAAATAATCTCACCCCTTGAAAAGATTTTTTTACTTTTTTTTTTATGAAAATAGAATTTTTTTTTCTTGATGGGACTGGAGCCATTCTCAGTCTGGGAAATGTTACTGCCATTAAGTTAAAAAGCTAACAGGAACCCTACACGCACACACAGACACACACACATAAACACACACTCCTGTGTAAAGAATCAGCCTGCTTAGTTGTTCTTGTCTTTATTTGGTGGCACTGTGTATGCTCCTTCTGTTTGATGCTTATTTGTCCACATACTAACTTCCTTCTCAACATTTTGATGAATCAAATTTTGCACATCGCGCAAAATCCCCAGTGGGAGTTTAAAGTGGTTTATTTATCTGTGCTCTCATGAAAGTTTTGTGACAACCTCTGGAGTTTGTTTATATCAGATAGCAAGAGTCCACACTACTGCATGGTGTCTTGCAGTGCCATCAGAGGAAGGATCAGCACAAATGTGTGCTATGTGTACACCAGTGAAACCCGATCTTGAGTAATTGTCTGGATAAGGCAAGGGATTGACCTCTGCCATGAACCATATTTTCTAAAACAACACACACTTGAGCTAGCTTTGAAATAGCCTCTCCTCTAGGACTGGAGTGGCCTGTGAGGAAGCTAGTCATCAACTTTTTAGTGTAACTAAACAAAGCCTGTGGTAATTTCATTAGCTCTCTCTTATATTCTCAGTGAGCAGATAACTGGTGCCCTCTGCTCTCCCAAACATCCCTCTGCTGGCTGTGACATCACATGCCAGCAATGTGAGGCATGAATTCATCTGGACAGAACAGGGACGTTCTCCACCAGCGCATAAAGCACAGCTTGCTTTGTATTTGTAGCACTGTTTTTCATTTACATTTTTTAGAATCAACTCCCCCTTCTAGTCGTTTATTAAAGCACTTAGTAAATCAATTCTAAAACTGTTGTTGTCATTTGACTGCTGGACCTCAAAGCAAATGTGGTCATTGTTATTGTAAGCGAGCATCCAAGACCGTTATGTTCTGTGTATTCATGACTGATTCGTGGAAAATGTTACATATTCATGTGGCATGTCAAACATTTTTTTTATTCAAAGCTCTTGTCACTAACTTCAAATACCAAACACCCAACATCTCTCCTCCCATAGTCTTTATGTCCCTCTGTCCATCCAGACATGGTGTGTTTGTGTCTTTGATGTTGTGACAGCTCGTATCCTGCAGCGTTCAGCTTGCATTCCTTTCATCCCAGATCCCCCATAGGTCTGCCCCACCTCTCCCAGTCACTGCCCCAGTATGAGGGAATAGGACAGATGCAGGATCTGGCAGATGGTAGGCAAGTTCATGGTCAAATTACATCAATGCCGTGCATACTGTACAGACTCCCTACAATTAGTGCTAAACGGCAGCGATTAATGTATCAGTTCTCATCAGAAATCCTGTTTGGTCCGGCCAGAAAAGTTGGGAACCTGGTGGAGAAAAGTATGCTGACTTGTATGCCATCAGTGTCAAAGCTGCAGGGTAATTGAATTTGGATCAAAGACATTCATGTCTTTCAAAAAGGTCTAGAGGGCTGCTCAGTTTTTAGTAATAACAGAAACGCTTCCGGCGTTGACCTCCACTGCCCCCTTCTACCTTCCTCTCCTCCCTCCCCCCTCTGCCCTCAACCTGAAATCCCTGCTTTGAAGGGCTAAAGTCATCGTGGCCACTCAGTCTGACAGAGAGAGGCAGAACAGAAATAGTTTTGGAAAAGAGAAATGTCTGGGATTTCTTAACCAGTAACCTATTCCTCATTCATATTAGAAGAACATACTTCTTAAAATCATAGATAGATCTAAAAAATTTTTTTTTTATACTTTGACAGCACTGATTAAAAGAGTTGTAACATACAGTGGATAAGGCTTCCAAAGAAGTGCATCATGAAATCCAATACGACATTATTTTCTTCAAGTGCAAAAAGGATGGTTAATGAAATTAATCGGTAACTGAAATTAAGTTACACCTGATATATATGTTTGAATATCATTCATCAGACACATTATGAGATTCTTCAGACACAAGTTGTGGCAGACTGCTCTGATCATAAAGAAACACATTTATGGGCCATATGTTTGAGAAGCCTTTCCAGCACTTTCCTCCTATAAAGTTGATTGAACGGAAATTTTCTGGGCAATGGTCCCTCATTGCAGGCAGAGATATGAGATGACTCTACGGTATAGTGTGGTTTGATATCATAATAAAGCATGTTGAATAGGTAATGCGAGTCATCAGTTTGTTTGTATTAATAACTGATGACAGTCTGCCCCCTTGTGTTTGAAATATTAATTATTATTATATATGAATGAAAATGCTGTTATTGCATGCTCTGATTTACCACAGTCTTTGAAATGAAAAAATAAAGAAAAATACAAAAGGTGTTTTTTTTTTTTTACAAAAACTGAAAACTGAATAAAGCCACACAGAAAGCAACAAATAATCAATTTTTAAGGTAACCTGCAAATGATCAACATTTGAAATTATTCTCCCTTGTTAATTGAAACCTCTCTAGTTCAATAAAAGTTTGATAAAAGTCACTTCCTCCTTGCAGATTTCCGCAGGCGTCCGATAGTGGAGGTGAACTGAAGAGCTGACCTCTCACATAGTGAGCGAGGATTGTCTATTTCTGTGTCTGTGTCTGCATCCATTGAGGAGACAGACGTGGATGCAGAGGTCGAGTTATTGTGCTCAACATCACTTGTGCATTCGCTGTCAAGATGTAGGGAAGTCTGTGGAGAAGCTGAGCGGGAATGAGCCCCGTTAGCATGAGCGAGGGGCCCTGCATGTCCTCGCTGATTCCCTTTTTCAAGTCCCTCCAGGTGGGCCTGGAACGTAGAGGTCTGTTGCTCCAGGGGGAGGAAACTCTCCTGCACCTTGTCAAACTGCAAAGAGAGAGGAGTTTTTAGTCCTGGTTGGTTTCTTAACTTTTGAACAATGTTTGAGTTTAGTGTACCTGCTCAATATTGGACTGAAGCAACAGCTCTGGCCAGACTGATTCACTGCTGCTGCTCACACTGTTGCTTATATGAGTGTGACTCCAGGTTAACTCCTGTGGGACAGGGCAGACAGAATTTCTGAGTTAAGATGTCAGAAAATATCAGAACTGGAGTTTTGTTGCATGAGGAGAACTTAACCTGCAGTAGTTGTGTGCTGTCCTTCAGATAAGCCTCGCAGCACTGGAGTCTGTTCCTGTAGTGCCCCAACACGGCAAACAAATTCTTTGCCAAAGACATAAGAGTATCACAACAACACTCAAAGGCATGGACAAGGACACTGTTAATGATTCATGGTTCTTTAAAGAAACTAAAACTAAATAGACAGCAACTGTTATTATTACAGGCAAAGTTTATCTCTGGAAAAACTAGACCTTCACATCAGCTTACCTCTGCATCTGTTTGGGCCGAGGCCAGGTCTGTGTGGTCTTGGCCCCCCTCTTTGGTGAGTGTGACCCCAGTATGCAGCTCCTCCAACTGAGCCCAGAGGCCTTCTAGGCCCACCATCATGTCCTTCACACTGGCTTCAAAATCCCCCTGCACCTGGATGAGTCTACACAGTGTCGTCATCCTATCAGAAAGAAGTGTGTGATGTTAATCCAACTGAACAACGTTTCCAAGAAAGCAGATGGCATGAAAACAAGATGTTGAACTTCACCTCTGCTGCAGGTAGGTGCGGATGAGCTTCACTTTGTTTATCAGTATAGAGTCTTGGTCCACCTCCTCCAGTGTCGCCTCGGACCCAAAATCAGCCTTCTCAAGTGAGTGAGACACTGACTACAGAGAAAAAGAGTTGGTTTTGTTTGGTAGAGTTTCATTAAACTACCTCTGCCAAATGTATGCATCACATGGCTGTGCAGCACTTAAGAAAAATACATCCATCAAAATCATGTAAGTTTATTTGAGCATAATGCTGTTGTAGAAAAACTTTGAGATGGAGACAGTGTGCAGGAATCTACTTGTTGTATTTTATATCCATTCTCTACTGACGTACTCTGTTCTACACATGCAGCTGTCCAAATACATATTTTCATATAGTTTACAAATTTCAAAACACACACAAACAATATTCTGCGATTGAGATTTAAAAAAAAAAAAAAAATTTGGAACATTCTAAAAAGAAAAGATGGAAACCAAAAAAATAAAATGATTCAGCCCAAAACAGGACAGTTAAAAAATACATGGCCTTGAAACAGAAACCTTAGAGGGAGGAATATGATTCAAGTAAGAAAAAGTTTATAGCCTCACTAGTGGTCTTTTGATGCTATAATGCTCGAGGTAAAAAAAAAAAAAAAAAAGTTTAGCCTGAGGCTGGTGCCAGAGGGAAGGACGGTGTTCTTTAAGTGCAACACACACCGCCGCCGGCGCGGCGCTGTGGCCGTCAAGGGCCGCCCCCCAACACACACTGGCAGCGGCGCGCAGCGGCACCGTCAACATGTATTTCCCACCCCAGCCGCTAGGTGGCTGTACCTACACTAGTTGCCAACGGTTGCCAACTGCTAGTAACAGAAGAAGAAGAGGAAAAACTTTGAGGCAACAACAACTTGAATTTCACGGGTGAATTTCTTATCAAAGTCGTCTTATTAAAATTTGAAACAACCGGAGTTGATCCTACGAGACGAGACGTACATAAAAGGCTTTTCTCGTAGCGCCGCCATGAGCGCCGGCCGCGCTGGAAATAGAGCAGTGAGCTGAAGCAGAGCGGCGCGGCGCGTCGGCCGGTGCCAGTGTGGGTTGGTTCATAACAATAATGGAGGCGGGCGTTTTGACGCGCGGCGTACGGCGGCGGTGTGTGTTGCACTTAACCCAGCATGTCAGCACATTTGTAAGCATTAAGCTCACAAAATACAGCTGATTTTGGTCTTTATTTTTTAGATGATTTGCCATAAACTACAATTTTGTACCATTAGAAATGTTGACAAACAGGTCAAATACCAACAGGCTACCAGAGCAACTGAAACTGTTATCATAGAGTCACGTTCTTAGTAGGCTTAAGCGCTAAAACGTAAACAGGGAATACAGAAGGAGACAAAACATTACAATTTCTCTCCTCTACCAATATGGATGATTCAGAGTGCAGACGACAGCAGCAGTGTGTGTTACCCTGGGCTAGAATACCTGTGTTTGCTCTAATATCACCAACAAAGACTTTATGCTGATCTACATGCACAGAGCGAGTGAAAACACAGGAGATGACAGGTATTGCCTGAGGCAGTGTGTGTGTGTGTGTGTGTGTGTGTGTGTGTGTGTGTGTGTGTGTGTGTGTGTGTGTGTGTGTAAAAAAGAGAGCGGGCATTTTGCTTCTTCAAGGTGGTTTTCTCCCTCCTACCTCCAGCCTGGAGAGGAGAGCCTTTATGTGGGGCACGCTGGGGTCTGGCAGGGGCTCCTGAAGCACACACAGCAGCAGGCTGTCGGCCAGGGCAAGGGCCAGATGACCGCAGTGGCCCAGGCCTCTAGGCTGGGACATCCTGGAGAAATGATGAGAGCACAGTGAGCATGTGTATGTATTTGTTTTAAAAGATTATGATTTTTGATTCTGGTCCATAAATGGCAAAGTGTGTTCATCCCTCACAACTACAGATGTACTGGTATATCATAAAATAGTAAAATAAAAACATTTAATAGCATGAATATCCCTGTTTGTCTTTGGTAGTTATTGTCTCAATCTGCTGTCAAAAATGCCAAAATTAAATATCAAATAATGAAGAACTGGCTGTAAAATCAAATCTCACCATAAATTGCTGTTACTCCTGTTTGCAGTTACAACCTCCTGCTGTATCCTCATTGGAGACTCCCCCTTGAATTGAAGCAAACTTACTGAATAAACATAACACGATTAAATCCACGGACGGGGTCAGGAGGGATTCACTCTATGCGGCTGCACTCACCTGATTCTGCCCTGGCTGCAGGCGGCACTTCAGGGCATGAACACAACCTCCCAGAATCATCCACAGCAAACACACCAACAGGAGCCTCCAGCACACATCCACCAGTAACAGAGAGGGGTGCAGCGGCGCCTCCACCTGGCAGACAGACCACACAACACCTACTGGAAGGAAACTGTACCAGCCTCTCCAGGGTTGTAGTGTCCTCAGAGTCTGTGACCAAGAAGTTTGCTGTGGCTCAAGAACAGCGGGTGTTTGGTTTGAACTGCAGTTGTAATGGGGCAAATCAAAAAAACAGTTGCAACTCAACTTGGATTTTAACACCAATGACTCATGACTTCAGCCTTTTGAAAATACTCAGCCTTTTGAAAATACTCAAGTCCTTCCCCCAAGCTCAAACATTTAAAAGTAGTACAGTGTTAAAAAAGCTGCCATGAATCAGTTAATTTACCTCAATTTCCTGAATTAACCAACGTCGAACACTATTCATTCCAAGCATGTTAACACTAAATTCCCCCGATCTACTTTGTGTGAACCAATCCGACATTATCCAATCGAGTTGCAGGAGGGAAACAGGAAGAACTAATCTTAGATTACAGAAGGCCAGTTGGAAAAATGTCAATTTTGTTCATGTACAAACACTATGTGCTGCATAACAAAAAAACAAATTGCAGTATGCAAACAAATGTGCAGGTCAAAAATGACAGAGACACAACAACGTTTAGCAGACATGTTTTAACAAATAAATACACATTTTAAGAAGCAATCATGATTTTGCAAATGTATTATTACTTTATTGTTAAAATAGCATTACATTTGGTGAAGAGGGCATTATCCCAGGTAGCCACTGGTCTCAAACCATTTGCAGCCGAGTGCTGGCTGACTCAGCTGTGTTCCGGATTCATGGTGCCAAATGTGAGCCAGCTTTGGCCTGTTTACTTTCACTAAGTCTGGCCTAGATTTAGCTGACAGACATGGGCCTTTTCTGGCTGAGACACAACAGTTGGATGAAACAACGGCCAGCACGAAAACATGTTCTGGCCCATTGATGGTTGCTAAATCTGGGCCTGATTGGGTGTTGTAGACATTGCGGCTGAGACAAAGCTGCCAGAACTGGGCCAGTTTATTGGCCTGATTCTGGGGCGTCATTTATCCTGAAGTCTCAGCCAAGTCCGGTAAACGGACGTGGACCAACCTATTTTTTCCTGCATGCCGAGTTTGGAGCAATGCTGGGAAGGTCATTTTGGCCACCTGGGATGACTTGTTTAGGACTTCAAAACTCAAAGTTTAGGACTTGGGACTTGGTTTGGGACTAGAGTGCAAAGTCTTGAGACTTTCTTGTGACTTGCAACACAATGACTTGGTCTCACCCCTATTAAATTCAATGTTTAAATATATATATATCATATTGGTCCTCATATTGGTTTACTACACTTAGGTCTACATAACTCTCAAATTGACTGAAATCTAAGATGGTACGTTTTCATATCAACACGAGATAAGATGAAAGGTACAGATTTCCTCTGGTTCACTTTTCATACAATTTGGCAAATTTTGGGATCCAAACTGTAATTCAAAGTAAAGTTTTGAAGTTTTCATGAATGCTTTGCTTCACCACATGCATTTCCTTATAATAGATTAGCTGTTGCATCCAGGAGAGTCACAGAGGTTCCCTCAACCAGCACTATACTGTAAAAGTAATAGCCACTTCAGGAATTTTAGCTCATGTCTGGTAAGCAGTTAGATGTAGAACTCAGAGGTGTAACATGTTGACAGCTATCTACCTAATGGAGCAGAAAAACATTTGCTGTCAACGTCTGGGCAGAAAAATGTTATAGGACCATCATTTTTTACAGACTTTTCCTCCCTGTAGCAGCAGATAATCAGAGACCTGCCACTCAAACACTGATTCAAATGAGAGGCCAGTTGTTGAATGACACACAGCTCTACCTACCTCTGTTGTTTTCGACTCCTCTCAGCAGGTTGTCCCTCCTCGCCCTCGTGTACTTCCTCCATCCATTTACAGCCCAGGGCCCAGCCCGCTCTTTCTCCCTGTCCTGTTCCCCTTTGACCCTTGGGATGGGTAACTGTCAACAGAGGCATGAGAGCAGCACCGCCACAGACATGCTGGTTAAAACTGCACCAGTGAAATTAGTTCAGCACCCTACACCTGCCCCATATATGATTAGTTCTGCGACACGACAAGCTCGTTCAACTGGTTCTACGGGAAGATTTGTTTTATCTAGGTAGTGGCTTTTTCCTTTTCCCACCTCCCATCAAAGAAGGAATGTGTTAAACACACTGATCACAATTGTGTGAAGGACAAGCCCAGCTCCGCCCAGGTACACCTGGAGCTCACAAGAACCTTTTCAACAGTCACTCACTAACACAGAGCTATTATTAGATCACATGTGAACAATGTTGGGATCTGAATAGCATTAAATTCCTCACAAGAATGACGTTTACAAATGGAAGAGAGCCCATCATAAGTAATCAACACTCATAAATAATTGAGGCTGACACTGTCTGTTTCTAATGTTCAGTTTTAAGACGCTGTAAAATAGGGATTATCAACTTGCTTTGCCAGAGAGCCACTTTTTCAAAATGACAGGAGTCCAGGGACCAGTTCCAAGGGACTTTTTGGCACATTCTTTTTAAAGACAAGCTCTTTTTTGATGCATTTAGTGCACTCTGACACCTTTTCTACCTACAAAATAGAGGAAAAAAATCCCAGTGAGTCCATTTACTTTCATTTTGAATTAGAAAATGTTTGTCAGGCCAACTGGCTAAGTTCTGCCTGTGGGATGAGAGTCAAGTCTCACTGCTGTAGAACTTGTTTTTGGTTTCTAAAACCATGCTGCCATCTAGCAGTGACAGTGAGAATAACAGGGAGACACATCAAGCCTCAATTAGCCTAAATTAACCCCAAGAGACACAATGAAATTGTTATGGCTTCACTTGATCCCAAGTTAAACACATTAGTCATGAAGTGGACAGAAAACACAATGTGCAGATATAAAATAATTTAATTTCTCAACACATGGACAAAAGGACAAAATCATTTCTTTACATGATCAAACTCTTGTAATATTCCTGCAATACTGAACATTGTACATGTCTATTATATAGACCAATATAAATAACGGACACATAACAACATTTTACAATTGCCTTAACTCAGTGTATTAGCCTTTTTGTTGTCATCATGGCGAACTTGTAGTACAAGTACATGACAAAGAGTACTTTGACATGAAAAACATAAGCTCCAGCAACAGACATGGCTTGCTCATGAACAATTCAGCAGGACAGGTGAACGTGATTGAGCTATTCCCTCTGAGTTACATCCTCCTTTCTCACTTTACTGTGAAGGAAATATAAGATGTGCTGAGTGATGATACCCCTTTTTGGTTTTTACTACAAGATACTCTGCTACCCTTTAAGTACCAACCCCAAATTCAATACTAGCAGCATGTTCCCTCAATGCTCTCTAACACTGTATCATGTTGACCTCCTAAACTGTTCAGTTGCAAACCTGTGATGCTGTCTTTGTCTCATTTGTCTTCAAAGTGTGTTACTGAGGGAAACACATTTTGTATTTGGCTTCAAGCTTCTATTAAAAAGGATGCAAATGATTCAGGGAAATTTAACTTTCTCACACTGACTAGTGTCAGAGAAAAGAAAAAAAAATAATAATAAAAAAAATACAAACTAAAACTGCATGTTCTCCTTTTCAAAAAGTAACTCAACATTCCTCAAAAATCTTGTTCTTTCTAACCTCCAGTAGTTTAAACTCTCGTCCTGCTGCAGTGATCTACAGGTGTACTCTATAACCCAGTGATATCACTGTTTGGTGTAGTTATGGGTGTACCAAAGCACATTTCTGACTCCATCCAACGACACAAGTGCCATTTGTATCGATTACCTTTTACATATGTCAAAAATAAAATTACCCCCAAGTTTTAGGTCGACTGTATCCATTAGAACTGTGTGATCTTTGTGGAAAAGTGAAACTGATTATGTTTGCTTTTCTGAATTTTACTAAAAAAACACAGGAGTTGTAGTTGGGATGATGACAAAAATTCAGGTGAAATCAGGACAATCCAGCACGTGAATAAAAACAGATGTCTGAGACATTCTCAGAAGCAAATTCATGGAGACAAATCACATCAGATATCAGCAACAATATGGTAACATACAATACAACAGATGGTGTGTTGGGCAAAAAATACAATGACCTGTATTGGAAGGCCAACTGCAGGACTGTTTTGTACAGTATTTTTTTTTCCACACATTTTTCAGTTCTGTCTTTCCTTCCAAGATTTCATTTACAAATACTATATTTTAAGAAATGTCTTTAACTTTACAAATATGTAAAATGGGCACTCAAATCTGTGTAAGGACTGAGCAATAAAACTTTTTCACCACTTCAGACCAGTAGCTCACACAGCAAGACCACAAAATGATCGCTTTCATTGTCCATACTTTCAAATGTGTACAGGAACCCTGTTTTTGATACAATTATATAATGTTCCTGTTTTCAGCAGTTGCAATGACAATGTTTTCCAGTGCTGTGTATTTAAACAAGGTGTCAGTTGTTGTTGTTGTTTATATATTCTGTTCAAAATCATAACATTTTTTTTCTCTACTAACTTTATTTTCTCACAAATCCCTGGCAGCTTGCAACTTAACACTTTATAGACACATAAATCTGTGCTGGTCACCAATTCATTCCCATTTCAGCTCTGTATGTACACAAGTCTGTATCCATGTGCATATGATTGTGTGTTTGTTCATCAATGTGCATACAAGCTGCTGAGGTATACATGCAGGTTCAGTCCTTGGGTCTGCACTTCATTTGCAGAGCTCATCACTTAACAGTTTAGGGTTTTGTGATGTGAACTTCACTAGTACCGCTGCCATTGGTGGTTGTGGTGATAATGTACTGCGTGGTGGCTTGCTGATTGGTCGATTGCTGCTCCAGATGTTCAGTGTGGGCCTGGGTTGTGCTCTGTTGAACACCCTGTTTGGTCTCCAGCTCAGTCTGACCCTCGGAGATAACGTAGTGTGTCTGCAGTACAGGGATGAGAATGTCTTTAGCTCCACAAACATTAGTTCAGTTCATACCATGATCTGCCACGTTTAATTCAGCATTTCTGCTCTTTTTATTTTTTTGTTGTCCAGAATGTAACTCACATGCAGGGCAACAATAATTTTCACATTTTCAGAAGTAGTGGAAGGGCTTCTTCAACCTGAGATGCTTTTGGTGTAACGGGGGAGTGACAAGTTATGATGTGTTTTGAATAAGTCCCATATAGGCCTAAAACTTTAGAATCTTATTTTTCACTACATATCCATGTGGCGTGAAAGCCATTGTTGGATTTCCCCATTTTTTTCCCTTCTTTTTTAAACCTTTTGATTTTTTGAACAGGGCGTGATTCTTTCAACTGCAGTGTTAGCCTTGCCTATAAGGACATGCATGTCCAAAATGAAACCGCAACACAGTAATTTCCCAAACCACAGCAAAATGTACACGTCACTTTAATCTAACAGGTATCAGACAGCATTCACTCACCGTTTTCACCTGGTTGCTGTTCACTCCAGATACAGGCGTGCTGGCCTCAGCTATCACATATTGTGCGTGAGGTAGAGCCATCATCTGGATCTCAGACGCTGCCATAGTAAAATGTTAACACATTAACCTGACAGGCAATCCTACAGTATAGAGCTGTCAAAACATACAGAGTGATGGGATGATATAGGAGCAAGTGTGTGACTCACAGTAGCCTCTGTAGTTCCAGTTCCCAGGTATGTAAGCGTGCTGCACAGTCCCTTGCTGCTGCTGCTGCTGCTGCTGCTGCTGGGTGCTGCTGGTCTGCAGGGTGTGACTCTGAGCTAAGGTCACAGGTGTCAGCTGTGTGGGGCTCAGCTCCTGATTGGGCTGCTGGGAGGTGGGGCTTAGAGGCTGACCGGTGACCTGAAAGAGAGTAAAGAAATATAAGTAGTCTGTTATGAAGCTTAAAGTTATGGAGCGAGCAATGTGTGTTATTATATTTTATACATTACTCATTAACTTGACCTGACTTAAACTTTAGTATTGAGGATTTACCTGGGTGGCACCTTGTCCAGTGCCTGAGGGCTCATTGACCTGGATGTGTTGTACCTGGATGGAGTGCTGGCTGTAGCCATGAGGGTCATGCAGCTGGCTAACATCTACTGTGGGGTGCTGGGAATGTGGGGAGGAAGCCTGTAAAACACAATGAAAGTAACTACTTGATATTGTCTCTTACATTCACCTCAATCCACCACTGGACACATTTCCATGAATATTGCTGGAAAACAAACAAGTTACTTTAACTATTTTGCCTCCAAACCACATTTTAAAAATACAACAGGCCAAAACAGACATAGTTTGTCTGCTGAAATGTTTAAAGCCTACATGTCAAAGCAGTAATTGCCAGAATTTTCATGGCGGCTGGTGGTTCTTTTGAGAATAAAAAAACTGTGAAAAAACATAACAAAATTCCCACAAGCACAAGGTGACACATTCAGTTTCTTTTATCTGACTAGCAGCCACAAACTCAAAGATATTGACTAAAGCTAAACTATGCAGGATTTTCCTTAAAATCAATGTATAGATCACTCATGACTAGGGCCGTAACGGTACATGTATTTGTGTCGAACCGTTCGGTACGCGACTTTCGGTTCGGCACGACCCTGTACCGAATTATTGGGCGCAGGATATTATTTTGTTTTTTTTTAATTCCGTTTTTGCGAGCCGAACCATTTAAAATATCTAGTTCCCTGACGGACATAATTGAGTGACGGACCGAGTCCGACCGTAAATCTCCGCTTTCACCTTGTGCAGCGCATTCTCGCATTTTGATAACATGGCAAGTGAGCCTGACGAACCTGAAGACCCACCGAGACCCACCCGCAAACCTTAAGTCCTCCGTTTGGGAACACTTTGGTTTCAGGGTAAAATACGAAGATGGAAATAAACAAGTTGACAAGACAAAAGCAGTGTGCCGACACTGCAGAACAGCGGTCGGGTATGTACTTGGAAACACGTCTAACATGCTAACGCATCTAAAGCGACACCACCCGAGTTTGAACGTTAACCGGCACGACTAGAAAAAGCAATCTGGTGCAAACTACGATATCGTCGTCGTTTAAAAAGAAAGAGCGTTTCCCTGACCATCGCGCTAAAGAAATAACCAACGCCATTGAAGTTGAGTAAAATTGTTTAAGCTGCACTTTAGATATAAGCATGTTTTGTTTACTGCACTTTATCAAAGTGGGAAAGCTAAGTAAGTTCCTAGTAAAACTGAATCTGAGCAGGCTTTGAAGCTGACCAGCTGCACTATACTTTTTATTTTAATTGAGTAAAACTGTTAAAGCAGAAATGTATATTTATATTTTTCATTCAAAAAATGTGTTAAAAAAAACAGCAGGATTTTATTTTTCACTTTTATATTTCTATTTTCATTCAAACAATGTGAAAAAGCAGGATTTTATATATATTTGTTTCATTCAAAAACTGTGTAAAAAGAGTTAGCTGCTGTGGTGGTATGTTTTAATAAGGTTACCAATAAGTAAAAGATATTTAATAGTTGTCTATTTTTTTCATTACTGTACCGAAAAAAAATGAACCGTGACTTGTGTACCGAGGTACGTACCGAACCGAGATTTTTGTGTACCGTTACACCCCTACTCATGACCCACTAGAAGTCTGTGACAGTGTGTTTTATCTGCAGAGACTCTGCCCTCTGTCTGTATTTTGCTATGTTTAAGATGTTCCTCAGCACAGTGCACAGGTGCACTTGATAAAAAGGTAGCTAAGAGGTACCAGACCACAGGCAGCATCCAAAAAGAAGTTACAAAATTGCAGATACAGTGGCAACAGATTGCAAATATAGCTGAGGATCGGCTTCCACTTTGACTGTCAATACAGTTTACTAACAGTAGCCAACTATTCCTGCATCATATACCTTTAAACAATCTATTGTCAAAATAGTTACTGGGAGCTGTGTTTATATCAGGCAGCTCCCAAATGTGAACAACTGTGATTGTGCAGCAGGATGTTGTTAAGTTGTTTAGTCAGCTTTCCTGGGATACATGAAGTTTAAAAAACAAAAAAAAAAAACTTAGGTCCCAGATCAGATCCTGGATCTTACCGGAGCCACCTGCACCACTTGCAGCTGAATGTGTTGCGGCTGAGACAGGCTGCCTCCTGCCTGAGACACTGGGATGTACTGGATCCTCTGGTAGTCTCCCTGCGCCGTGCGATAGTCCGTGGTTAGTGTCTGAGAAAGCTCTGTCATGGCCTGGGTCAGCAAATCTGTGGTCTGTGGAGAAAACAAATCATAGTTATAATATCTGGTGTATATCTTAATTTCTTTCTTGCTCCTTCTTTTATATTTACATTTATTTGCACCGTCTAGCCTCTATATTGGCAAATACGACTTTTATGTTTCTGTAATATTTAATTTAAAATATTCACTGAGCGTTGGCACTCAACATGAATGTTCATAATTTGTTCTTACCACTACAGCCTCAGCTGTGGTACCATCTGCACTGATGACTGCAGGAGTGCTACTGATAACAGCTGTAGTCAGAGGAGTCTGGATGGTGTTGGCAAGCTGGGCAAACTCTGGATGTTTCTTCCTGATGTGCTGAACCATCTTAGTCTAAGATACAAGCACACAGAGAGTTATCAGTGTGGGTCTGGTCTGGGACTGTCTAAGGCGCCGCACAGATTTGTAAATTACTGCAAACACAGAGCTAGAGTCAATTCCTGTATAAATATTTATAATATCTTTGACAGAGCGTTATACTAACCTTGCTGCTGTATTGTTTGGCACAGTGTGGGCAACAGACCGGTGCAGTGGCGATGGTGCCTGTCAGTTGTGTGTGTGTGCTCAACATGGGGTCTGGCTCACCAGGAGCAGCCGGACGCAACTTCCGGATGCTGGGAGGCAATTCTGCCCCAGGGTGGTTCTTCAGTATGTGTGCTTTCCTCTTACTGGCACTCTTATAAACCTGTAGAAATCAGTCCATTAGATTGATTCATGAATATCATCCTGAAAGTTCAGGTTCAGAGTTTGAGGTCAAGCAGATGTTTGCATGTTTTATTCAAGGCAGGAACTTTAAATAAATATTTGATTAATTAATAAATAACAAAAAAAAATATGAACGACAAGTTGTCTCCAAAACTACAAGTTCACATTACAGGATGGGAAAAACAAACCTTGTCACAATACTGGCAGAAATAGTCCCTGTTGGGCTTGATAATAGGCAGCGTTAGCTCAGGCACATCATCAATACGCATCTCTGGATGACGCTTGGACAGATGATTGACCTGAAACCAAAAAAATAAAGCTGAGTGTTCTGGAATTCAATATCAACAAACAAAAATCTATCTGTGAGTTTTTGCTCACCAGCATTCCTCTGCGCCTGAATCCCATCATGCATACTCTGCATTTGAACATGAAGCTCTCGAAGTCGGTGGTGGGCACCTTCAGTTTAAGGGTTTTGGAGCGGTGGATTCTATCAGCCTTCTTGGCCTCTCTGTCAGGATTGTGCATTCGCTGCATGTGCTCCCGCAGCTTATCTTTCCTCTTAATGACAAAGGAAATCAATTATCACACAAGAGCTCACATATCTATACACTAACATTACCAACTGTTTTTTTTTGTCATGCTTTATCTTTTCATCTTACCTTGAATTGTTTGCCACATGTTGAGCACAGGAAGTCCTTGCGGTCAGAGTGGCGTAACATGTGCAAACGCAGCTTGTCTGGCCGGCAGAAAGCCTTTTCACAGTCTGGACACTGGAAGATCTTTTCTGAATGGAAGCAGCGGATATGCTTCTTCACCTAAGGAAGAGAACATTTTGCAGTCTAAAAATGGAGTAACTGGGCCGATTTACTAATTTAAACCAGACTTCTGCTCAGCTCTGGCCAAATCACTGTAAGACATTTAGTACTAACTTGGATAAAATCAGTAAATGTCTTCTTGCAGGAAGGACAGGTGAAGCAGCCGTCCACAGCATGCACTGCCACGTGGTCTTTGAGCAGGTCCAGCCTTTCAAAGGTTTCTTGGCATAAGAGACAAGAGTAGGAGCGGTTCTCCGTGTGCACTAGCAGATGGTCCTCAAGGGCCGAGTCACTCATAAAGCTCTTGCTGCAAATGTGGCAAGAAAAGGCATAGGCGTCCCGGCCATGCACCCGCAGGTGTTGATCCAGCTTGTCTTTATCCCGAAAGGCCTTGCCACAATGGGTGCATTTAAAAGGACGGAAACTCTTCCTGATGAAAAGGTGCTGCAGCGCTGCATTCTGAGATTAAAAAAAGAGAGAGAAGAACTACTAGCAGAAAACCCCACCAGTGTAGACTGACATTGATCTGCTCTGACATAGAAAGAGGCTGATAGATGCAATGGATTGGGCAGGAGGGGACATATCCAGAAATGTCACATGAACATTAACAACATGACAAAATGACAAATCTTTGAACCAAATGTTTTTTCTGCCATCCTCCAGGTCCTACCTACCTGCACATCCATCTTTGAGGGAAGCACGCATTGAGGAAGAGAGACACACTGTTGTAAAGCAAATCATGGCCACTATGACACCAAATAAAATCTAAAACACTTCCAGTTCAGTAAACACAGCAGTCATACCCGTATCCTCTTGGCACGCCGCATGTCCTGAGATGTGAGGTGGGCGTCTGATTGGCTGCTCTGTGCCGGGTCCTCCTTTAGTGGAACTTGCAGATCTGTGGTGGAGGGCGGGGTGACAGACTCTGGAACTGGTTCCCCTGCAGGTGGTATAAGCTGGCCCTCTGTCTCAGTCCCAGCCTCTGTCTCTGACTCCATCTCCACCACCTTCAGCCCATTCTGTACTCCATCCACTCGCTCCTCCAGTGGCTTCTCTGTCAATTCCAGCATTTCCTGATTAAAAAGGTAAAAAGGTCAGTCACACCAAAGCCACTTAAGTAATCTATTAATCAATACAGCACATACTAATGTGTCCTTTACTGTTGTCTTGTCCCCACTGGTGTCTCCTGGTGGATCCAAACGTATAAATTTAGGTGGGCGTCCTGGTCTCCTTCCTGTCCCAAATCTCCTCCTGCCTCTTCCTCGGCCCCGACCTCTGGATCTGAGACCAAAGAAACAATGAAGACTTCATTTAGACTTTTATGAGATAGAAATGAAAGAGAAAACATAATAGAAAGTGATGAAAACAGGTTTTACCTTGTCACAGAGTTTAACTTGTCGTCATGCATGTTAAGATGTTGCTGCAGTTGTTCGGAGCTCACAAAGCGCCGGTTACATTCGTAACAAGGCCAGTTCTTCTCTTGCTCCCGGAGCACTGAACAACAAAAAGTGAGTACCAGGAATAATCACTACTACTGTTGTGATAATTTGTAATTGTGGTGGTGGGCCGAGACATATGTTGATATTAAGCTAGATAAGTATTATGTGCAGCTCACCTTTTCTCTCTTCTTCTGTAACATTGTGGATCTTCTGATTGACAAAATCTGCATATGATGCTGCATACCACACCTGCAAATAAACATATATCATTACAAACACTAACTAGTACAGCCTGTTCAGATACTCTTTTTTTTTTGTTTTACTGGGACAGATAAATTTTCCTTTCAGCTCTGGCCTGTGTCCACCATCTTCTGAGAAAAATATCTGGCTCTTAAGTTACTTGATATTTGACATTTGACTGTAGCCCTGTCTACACATATACAGATGTTTTTGTAAACAAATGTTTTCCTCTACGTTTTCTGCATTCTTCACATGCAAACAGGGTTTAAAGTCAATAAAAGTGACATTTTTCAAAACATCTTCTAATGTGCAGTTTTTTCAAAATGCACATTTCTGTTCACCTGTGTGGAAATGTAAAACAGAGTGCACTTAAACTTAGTATTGCTGTACCACTTCACGGATGAACGGAGCCGTCTGCTGCACCACGTTATGTAGTCAGCGTGAAGTTCACCAGAAATGTCGGTGCTGGATCAGGTTGAGCCAGCAGGTGGTGCAACAATTTTGAGAATAGGATTCTGAATAAGCTCTGTTATCCTTTTATTGAGGAGGAATCAAGGGTGATGAAATCTCCAAAATATATATATAGTATAAATAAATTGTTTTTAAAAATATCTTTAAACATGTAGAGAGAGCCTTAACTGAACTGAATTTCCTCACCAGCTAGTCGCTAATTTTGCCTGTCTGCTTTCTGGTGCAGGGCACGTAGCATGTAGGAGTGAAAACTTTGTTTCATTACGTTGTTTCATTCATAAAGCAGGACAAATGAGCACACTGTATATGCAACAGAGCACACAAACTGCACTACATGGGACTGACCTTGAGCTCTTGTTTGGGTTGGATGTTCTTGATGGTTGTGTAAAATATCTCTGAGCCATACTGATAGGCCACCAGGTTCTGCTCCAGGTGGTTCTGAGCAGGTCTCACAAACATCATCCAGTTACAGCTGTCCTCATCAGACAGGTCCAACCACATGTCGTCAGACTTCTCTCCATCTTTCTCTGCATCAAGCATGCACAGCTAATACAAGAGGCAAAAAACACATTAAAATCACACTGTAAGAGTAAGAACCTTTGATTACACATTCTTGCGCATATTAAGTTTTTGCAGTTCTTTCTTAGCCGGCACTTTCTTATAAACTTAATCTTAAAAAATAGACTTCTTTTGTTGTTTCTTGGTATCCACGCTATAATTTCACATTTTGTCCTCTTTGCTTCTGACTGTTTGTGAAGCAATAATTTCACAAATCTGTGTGTGGCTAAATACCAAAATAAAAATTGTAGTCATGCAGAGCGCTGATTTACTTTCAGATGAATGTAGTGGTCATGCAGTTCACTCTGAGGAACCAGGGGTCCCTCCACAGGACCAAACTGTGTACGCTTTGGGATGCGTCTCTTGGAGAACACCCCACCCAGGAAGCGATCGATGTAGAGGACCAGAGGCAGACTGGCTCTGGCCTTGGACATCACAGGCCGGTTGGGGATGGGGTGCAGGGAGCCATGCTTTAGACACACAGAGGAGTTGGCATTATTGCACTCCTCACACCCTGAGAGGCCACAAAAGGGAAAAATCAATAAAACACAAACCATTACAACAAACATATAAAAATGTATGACTTTATTATTTTATTGCTCTACTTTGTGTTGTTCTACTGAAAGGGATAGTTGAGATCTTTTGAAATGAAGTTGTGAGGTGCTTATCCATAGTCAGTGTATTACAAATAGTAGATGTCAGTTGGCACGCCCATAGTTTGGAGAAGCAGGCTGGGGTACTGACATGGAAGCTAAGCAATGTAAGGCTCTGGATGGGGGCAACATTAAAACATATTTTAGCCACCTAAAAAAAGTCCCACTTAAAAAAATCAGTATCAGTTTATGTGTATGCTATATTAAGAATATTTTCAGCGCTTAACCTTGCTGTCAAACAGTGATTTCCAACTGGGAACTGAAGCCTTTATATTGCTCTCTTCTAAGCCAGACTCCACTGAGAAAAACACTGATTTAACATCACTGAACACAGGAGCTGCTGGACTAATGCTGCCTCAATCAGTTATTTTGTTTGTGTTATTTTGTGATTTTGGCATTTAAAAGAGTTAGTTCGGATTCACCAAAGTCACACAATAATACAGACTAACTAACTGACAGAGGCAGCAATAGACCAGCAGCTCCTGTGTTCTGAGAGTCAATATGACTGTTTTTGTCAATGGAGTCTGGTGGCTTTGACGAGCATAGCTCGAGAACTGTAACAGCTTCTCTGTCAGGAAAAAGCTGTCTAACGAAAAGGTGAAGCAACAGAAATATTTTTTTATATAGTGTACACTTAAACTTCATTTTAGATGGGACTTTTTGTAGGTGGCTAAAATTTGTTTTGCTACTGCCCCCCATCCACAGCAGCTCATTGCTTAGCTTCCATGTCGGTATTCCTGCTGCTTCTCCAAACTGGGGGCGTGCCGGCTGACATGTACTGTATGTAATATACAGACTGTGGATAAGTACTTCATACAACTGCACTTTAAAAATTCTGAACTATCCCTTTAAAAAGGTCCACAGGCAAATGACATAACATCCGTGATTTCAGTGAGGTCTAATCATTTGCCTTGTTCTGAATGAATTTTCATTTGTTTAACAAAAGAGTAAGACATTTTTGTAGTGCAAAATTAAATCAGGATGTCAGCCACAAGACAGGAATAGTTTTTAGGCATCTTTGTTTTTAGTTTGTTTGAATGTATATCATGACTTGACAGTATGTTTTTAGAAAAATGCAGCAAAAAACACTACTGGTAAGTCAAGGCCAAGCCACTGAGATGAGTGTATGAAGCAGAGCTTCATTTCAGCAGTTGAGACACAGAAAAAGACTCAACATCCTCTGCTGTCTGCTCTGAATGTGTGACTCCTGACAGGGCAAACAAGTTTGTTACGACTGAGGAGAATGTCACTCACACAGATTGTGAGGGTTGAATGACTGAGGCTGACGAGGTTCCCAGTCATCCATCTCAGAGTCTTCATCCTCGTCTTCATCAGAATCATCTGTGGAGTCGGTGGCCCCAAGGGGACTGCTGGGGGGGTCCACCATGTCAGCCACTGAAGGGAGCGAATTGGACGCAGACAGCTGCTCCTGTGTGTTTGATCATTTAACAGAGTTAATACTCACTCAACTCTTCTGTTTATCCTTGTGTGAGAATCACCAACAGGTTAACATCTTCAGGACTGACTTGTTCACATACAACAATTCAACAAAAAAATGTATATAAAGAATGAATAAATGTATCCTTAAATAGTTTTACAAAACTAGATGCCATTTATTAATTATCTTCTGTGCATGCAAAAACTTATTTGTGGTTGAGTCAAGTAACGTTCGGTTATTGTTAGTCTCGCTCACCAGACCTTTCTCAAGAAAAGAAAGGTCTGGCTGGGCCGACTCTCACTTTAAGATTGGAGAAAAAAAATGCCCCGGTTGCTTGTATTTCTTTCAACCAATCAGAACCATTCTGGGCGGTGCCACAGCAACGGTGTGCTTGCAAAAATATTGCCGGGGAGAAACAGGTTTTGGTGTAACACGCCCACAAAAATATCGCCTACAGGACGCGAACCATGGCAGAAAAATGGCTACATCCCCGCAAGATCAAACACCACAAAAGTTAGTAAAGGACATGTTGAAAACGGTTGAAAACTGCTACACAACCGGAGGTGGTAGGGCGGGACTTCAGCGGGTGGCTCGTTCTGCCCAATGAGAGGCTGATCTATGCAGTGAACTTCCGCCCACTCAGACTAGGTTATTGTTTACTTCCGAGGGACATCAAAATCTTATTCGGGAAAAATCGCCACCTTATCTTTGAATGTCTGTCCAATCAGTGTTTAATGTAAATGTAGTCGTTTGAAGTGATAATTTCCTCTGTGTATGCTATACTGACTAAAAAAGCTGAAACCATAGCTGCATAATCTGCTGTTCTTCCTTCCGTCATTTGATGTGATGAGTTGGAGGCACTGAAAGAAGGAGATGGCGAGTACAAGCAGCCGAAATGAGTTTCCTCCCCAGGGTGGCTGGGCTCAGCCTTAGAGATAGGATGAGGAGCTCGGAAATCCGGGAGGGACTCGGAGTAGAGCCGCTGCTCCTCCACATCAAGAGGAGGCAGTTGAGGTGGTTCGGGCATCTGGTAAGGATGCATTCCGGATGCCTCCCTTGGGAGGTGTTTTGGGCATGTCCAACCGGGAGGAGACCTCGGGGCCGCCCCAAGACACGCTGGAGGGATTACATTGCCCGGCTGGCCTGGGAACACCTCGGGGTTCCCTCAGAAGAGCTGATGGAAGTGGCTGGGAAAAGGACTGTCTGGGCTTCTTTGCTGAGGCTGCTGCCCCCTGCGACCTGGACCTGGATAAGCGGAGGACGACGAGTATGACGAGTACGAGTTGGAGGCAAGGAAGAACTGCAGGCAATTTCAATATCAGTATTTGTTCATGGTCTTTTATAAGGGCATTTCAATAATAAAACAAAATGAGTTCAGAGAATGTTTTGGACGAGGATATTTTTATTGTTTAATGTTTTGACTGACTAAGATATTCAGTCATATTTATTCAAGCCAGAGTATACAGCCCAAGTTAGACCGCTTACGTGGTGGAATAACAACACGATGATGTTTCTGCTATCATTGGGTTAACACATCATGAAACAATTTGCACACGTTTGCTTATTCCCTACTATATGCCATACGTGTGTTAAAATGAGAATAAATAAATACAGTTCACTTATTTGTAAAACACTGTGCCCTCACCTGGGAAACTGGCTCCAGGATGGCTTGGGGAGCCTCTGCTACATTACTGAGAACATGCAGATTGGCAGCATTCATGTTCTGTCCACTGGGCAGTAAAACTGTGACCTATGAATGAGATTACAATGCTTTAAGGTTCAATAAAAACAGGTGGTACATAGCAAGATAATGGCTGACAGTATCTGGTAAACTTACCTGCTGCGTTGTACCATCCTGCTGAATATAAGCCACTTGTGGCTGATCAGCAAATACAGTCTGAAAGCAAATGTAGTACAGCACTATGAGCAAATCTTGCATGGCCGTGTGCAGGTTATTTTATATATTAATTCATGCAATCTTTGTACATTTGAAACAAGAGTGTGAAAGTATATTAAACTCTTGGAACTCTTGGGTTTTTGTAAAAATGTCAAAATAGGTGGTCAAGAACGACTCTCCCAAAAAAGGCAGGGTCTTAGTTTCGACCCCACCTGCCCATCAAAGCAAAACTTGTGTCATCTAAATGCTTAAATATCAGCTAAGATGTCTCTGCACTTGATAAAAGCCGTTCTTACCTGAGTGCCATCTGCAGGGTGTATGTAAACCAGTGTGTGCTCTGCAGACTCTACAGAGGTATAGGAGTTCCCATCTGCTGTATAAACCACCTGCTGCTGTCCCCGGTCCTCCTGATCACCACTGTAGACAATCTGGGCTACCGTGCCACCTTCAAAATGCACCTGCAACACGTGTGCACAAGACACAAAGGCTTTGAACCAGCTGCAACATCATTACACTCTCTGTGTGTGTCTCCCCCCCCCCGTTAGTCCTCCTTTAACTTAGTATATGTGAGTGCTGAACAAATGATGGTGAGTTTATGTCCTTCTCAAGTCCTTCTGGAGGGTAAGGAATGATGACTTGGAAAATCCCACTATATAGTCTCAGCTAAGTGGATGGTAAATTTTAGGATTTGGCAGCAACTTGGGTCTGTGGACAGAGGGGAGTTTGTCTGTGTGTGAGTGTGTTGGAAAGACAAATTATAAGATGCTTAGATTGTCCTGTGATGTATCAAATGTGCTGCACTTCTTTTCTATTGCTTATGACTCTAATATAGCACTTAAGGGACAGTTCAGACCTGTGCGCCATTGCTTGAATCATTATTAGAAGTCTGACTCCACACAGCTGAGGGTTCCTGCTTGGTCTCCATGGCAGCACAGTGCCAAGCCTGTTGCCAGCAACGTCACCTATCTCTTCACTCTTGAGACAGCCTGTAATGCACACAGACAATAGCATTGAGGGTGATTTTAATTATAATAATGCATCATGGTGTTAGTAGCTAATGCAAGGCAAAACTGAATGATGGGGTTGGGTTTTAATGTGAATTTGTGACTGCATGGTTATGCATCATTTTAACAATCATGGCACAACATTATGAGATCTTAAACAAAGGTGTATTTCTATGTGTGTATGGGCTGGAGCAATCTCCTGAACGGGTGATGGAATCTCTACTGTAACAGCTTTATCACACTGGACACAAGAAAGCTGGTTGGCTGCAACAACAAGGCACTGCAGCAGCCATCTCTGAGCAAAGTGGCACTGAGTTCAACCCCACGTGCAATCTGCAAAACAGATTTTTGGGTCTCCAGATACGGTTTTGCTCGGCTGACACGACATGCACGCCAAAATAAAGCAGCATGTCACTCGGTGTGCAGAGCGGTCACACAGGACTCTCAGCGGGGGTACGAGGGAAAATGCGGTTAACGTTTGCTGACGAGGCCGCCCGGAAAACGGTGTCTAAATACAACCGCATGTCGGCACAAAAGCCACCGTGAAAAGTCACGACTCTGTAAATTCATTCAGAAATCTAGTTGGTATAATCAATAATAAATTCAATTCCCCCCTATTTTAACCCCGCAGGTTCTCAGTCCCAACTGGACCATACCACACAAACCAGCGCTATAGAAACCCGGGCATTTACTGCACCGCAACATTAGCATTACGGCCATATAGTCCCAGTGTAAGGCCGACCTTGGAGCTAAACATAACTTGTCAGGTCCCAGGACGTAGACGGCAATCTGCGATATTTAACAAAAGTGCTTTTGAAGCGATAACAGGCCGGATTATTAGAGTAGACCCACCCGTGCCCCGATTCTAGTTGAGCCCAGCCCTTCAAGTCTGCTGTGAACAAGGAAGAACGGGCTCCATTTTGGGTGGGACTAACAACAACAACCACATCCGAAGAGAGACCCAAAGAAAAAAATACGTATTTTCTACCGGTACATAAGCGCTCAAACAATCCGCACACTTAATATATATCAACAGAAAGGCAACGGAACAGTCAAGTTATACAAATAGTCGTGAAGAAATCCCTGGTTGTCTTACATTTAGCGGAAAGCGTAGTTGTTCTTACCTCAGAATGGTAGCTGCAGAGATGGCTGCATTGCATATATTAACATAATCTGCCTAGCAACACGCAGGAGCGTGGCTTCTGATTGGTGGTTATTTACTCTGGCGCAAAAGCAATTTAGGCTATTTTAAAACACTACTTTCACGAAACAGTCTAAACAGCCGTCTGGATTAAATATTAATAACATAGCAATGTTACCGATTTTACTGCGAATGTGTCTATTAATCGTCTTTACAATTTAAAGTACAGGGTTAGTACAGCCAATCAGAAAAAATAAACACCAACATCGTCCAATTGAATTAAAGCTGTGTCCAAAAATGTTATTTGATCTACTCTTATATGTTATTCAATTTTAAAGGTGGCACTGCTGGCTTGGACTACTGTCAAAATATTTTTTCCCCGTATATCTAAAAAATAATTATTTTTTTTCCCCGTAAAAAAACAAACAAAAAATAAAAGGTTAAAATGACGGTGATACAAAAAGCACGCTACTTTACTGCCCTCTGTTGGTCACAGAGAAGAACTGCAACATTTAGTTGATCAAGGTAGCGTCAATCAGTGCAACCATAACAGTGCCTTTCCGGTTACTCCTTTCAAAATACAGTTGCCAAACTAAAGAAATCAGACCAAACTAGTACAAACGGCCATGAAATGATCGAGAAATTGTTCTACGGAGATCACAATTTATAGACTATAACTCCACATTCCCCAGTAGGAATAATACCGATCCTAAAACTGATTAATTGTATGTATTTTTTTTAAATATTCATATCTAGTTATATCAATAAGAATAATTATTAATGCAAATAATGAAGCCATGCACCTTGCAGTGGTATATACTTCAGAATCAGAATCAGAAATACTTTATTGATCCCCGAGGGGAAATTATTTAAAGACAGTAAGTAAAACTAAAAGTGCAAAATATGCAGAACAGTCCATTTTTGAGCTCCACTAGCACCAATACACATTATATCATAAATTTACTCATGATTATTGATGCATTATTTTGTACACTGCTTAAATGTAAGATGGAGCTACTTAACACTGCTAGCTTGTGCATTTCCCTTCTTATCATATCTTAACCCCATAATACATAAACTTCTTTTTTATTTATAATTTTTATTATTATTCTAAGCGTACAAAGCAACTTAAGTTTCATATGAATGTTTCTGAGTAAAAGAAATACAATATTTACTCCTGAAATGTCAGAGTAGTCATTTCTAAAGTAGCAGGAAATGGCAATGCTCAAGTAAAATACAAGTTCTTGAAACGCGTTAATCAGAGATAACGACTCCGCATTATTCCTTTCCCACTTTCCTACAGTTACTGATTACCTTCTTGTAGTACACGGCACATTAGCCTAGCTAGCAAAGCTACCAACGACTGTTTCTCTTTTTGTGTAATTTTAATTCAAATTAAAACTGTTTAGAAAAAAAATAATACCGCGCCGGTTATTTCTTAGTGGGCGCTCTGCAGTCTCCCGTTGTACTTCATTAGGGTTTTTGCCCTCTACTGGTCACAGTGAGTAACTACAATGACGTCAAGCATCAAGTTAGACATAATCGTATAACATTATTTCCGGTTTTATCCTTCAAAATAAAACGATAAACATTGTAGTTACGCACTATGACCACAGGAGGGCAGTGTAAACTCATGATTGGAGTAAAAGGGATTCCCTCAATGACCAAATATTACTAAGTCAGACAGAATAGTTCATAAATAAAAAATATAAACACAATAACAAATAAACAATGCTATAATACAATATAATATAATATACATTTTTGTTTATTGTTTCTTGAAATTATTCCGTATAATTCTCTCAAGATATATATTTATAAACCGTTTTAGGTCGTTTTTTAGATCATTGTAAAGAAAAACATAATTTAGAAATTCAGAAAAACCCCTTCAGACTTGAGTCTTCTTAACTACATGATTATGGTAAGTTTCTATCACACATCCTTATAGTAAATAATGTGGACACCATTATGTATGTATGTGTGTGTGTGTGTGTGTGTGTGTGTTTAAGGGTAAATGTACAGCTTCTCAAGATATTTCTTCAAATACAAATACTTCAAATAAACAAAGTAAATATTAAGTATGAAGTGAATGTCTAATATAGCTAAAGACAAGGTGAAGTAGCACTTAATGTGCTTTAGATTTTGAATAATTATACACACATAAACAGAACAGATATATGATAAAGATTCAGTTATCAGTGGCAGAGCAGCAGCGTTTTCTCTGTTTAACAAACACCTGCACATGAATAACAACCTGTTCTGTATTTATTTAGCACTGTGTCCTGTTCAGAGCCACAGAATGCATAGAGTTAATTAATTTCTATTTCTCTGTCATGCCAAACACCTGGGCCATCCCACACGGGAGAACAAGACACCACTATTTTACCATTATCACTATTATTATTTTATATTCATCTTTTGATAATACCAAAAAAACACACACACAAAAGAATAAAATACAAAATAAATACATTTTCACATTATAAAGTACCTCTTGATTATCTCAAATAATTTGAAACAACAATTTCACATCAACACTGAAAGAATTGCTACATACCTTCAATTTATGAAAGTAAAAGTATAAAGTAGCATCAAATGAAAATACTTGTAAGTTAAGCACAAGTAGGCTGACCTCACATTAATATTTTGTTACTAACCTAAGTGTCAAACAACAGCCTTAAAATAGTTCAGTCAACTTTTGAAAAATATTTACCTGCACCACTTGTACTTTATTCTTTGTTTCTACTGTATCTTTTGATGTGGGCTATATGATACAGTATTTTATTGTTATTTATGTCAAGCACAGTAGAAAGCATTCACAGCACGATGTAGAGATTTGAGAGTATGTGACAAATATGTAACAAATATACCAAAGAACTCAGCAAATAAATACAACTTTAAATGTAATGAATAAAAAATGGAAATGCTTGTATTTACATATTTATACTAAAAGCACATTGACTGAATGTATGTGTACTTCTTCCACCACTGCAGCTCATAAAGCGATGTGATTATGTAGGCATTAATATTAGTAGAGTAGACCAGGTCATAACCTATAACTTACTAAATTATATGTTAGAACACTCAGATTTTGACACAAACCTTACAATTTGTAGTAGACAAATCAGGATTTGTCTACTACAAATTGTAAGGTTTCAATTTCTCCAACTATAACACAGAATCCATTAATTGATGTCAAACATGAGGAGTTCCATTGTTACAACCTGGCCCAGGCTAGGAGTGAAGAATTACTTATAATACACATAACAAACTGATATATACAATAATAACCAATTAATACCAAGGTTTAACTCACTAACCTCTACCTGTCAGATGCTAACCTCTCATGGAGTGAGTCTAAAATACTGCCTCAGTCAAGTAACCAGCCAAAACACCATTTTGCAGCTGTGTTGATCCACTTTCTCTGAGGTTTGTCTCATCTGCTCATTGACACAGGGCAGATAGAGTATTACTCAGGCACAGACCTTACTGTCGTTCCCTGCCTCACCTCATCTGATGCAGATTTTAGTACTTGTGGAAAAAAAGGACTAAGATAGATAGATAATGTGTTCAGTTGTCAGTGGGGTTAGTTGTAACACCTTTTGAAAAGGTGTTACAACCATCTTCATCCCTGTGAGCCATTGTTTAGCTAACTGTAACAGAACAGTGGTTTGAAATGAGTGAAAATGAAATGCCTCACATTTCATCCAAGAGACTACTCTCTAATGCAGGGTATCAAACATACGGCCTGGGGCCGGGGGTCCAATCTGGCCCTCTAGATGACTTTGCACACCTAAATGTTGATGCACATGTGAAGGCTGAGAGGTTTCAGGAGCAGTTTAAACAGTGAGCAGACACTTGATGTAATATACTACCTTAGAGGTTTTTCCACTCTGATCAGAGTACAGCTCTCTTACATATTGAATAGTGTGCAACATATTGTCAGCCAGCAGCTTCAGTCCAAAAGAATCTGTGTCAGACTTCTGTATTAAAACAATATCAGTGGAGCCCTGCTGCTGAGGAACTGACAAAACTTCAGATTGTAAGAAAAAAGTCACAAGTAATGACAGTGAGTAGCAGACTGATTGAATGTGGAGAAACAAAGACATACTGTTGAATTTGCACATCATTTTTCTTTCTTCTTTGTTGGCAAATACATAACTGTTTTCAGAATGAAATTGATGATTGATGAAATTGATATTTATAGGTTATTATGCAGTGGTTTCAGTGGTCCAGCCCACTTTAGATCAAATTAGCCCCTGTGGCCCCTGAACTAAAATGAGTTTGACACCTCTGCTCTAATGTACTGCCACATATATAATTCTAATTTCAACAGTATCACTAGTCATCAAAAATATAGACACAGTCCAGAAAGTTACTTTCATATGTGAAAATCAGTGTTTTGGCTGTATGAGCTGCATCCTTATTCACACAGCCACGAAATGTCACATGCAGATAAGAAAGGAAGTGGTCAGACATGACTCATAGGTCATCCCTTCATGGTGGAAGTGATGCTGTTGCAAGCATTCCCAGTCTCCCCTATATTCATTATAATAATGTGTATCACAGGAGGAGTCCAGTGTGCATTGTGTCTCATGGCTGTTCCTGCAGCCGGCCGCCTGGTGGCGCAGTGCGTCCTGCTCAGTGTGGCTCAGATGGAGCAGAGGAGGGAGGAGGCAGCAGAGGCAGAGCAGCCGCGCCACAGACTCACAGTCCACATTTCCAGAGAAGACCGACACTCTGTCTCCCACCAACATTCTCTGTCGAGCTCGGGTAACAAAACAAGCGGAGCCGGACTCGTCCCGCTCTCCGGGATATTAGATTATCAGATTATTCCCAGGACGTGGTTTGCCCTTTATTCTCCCGGACGTCACCTGACACATAGAGCTCGCAGGATATATAAGTTATTTACCGTAGCACAAGCGGAGATCCTGGAAGATGGGTTCAGTCCCGGCGATATCTGTCCTTATTTTGGGCATTGTGGTTCCAGCGCTGGCCGGCTACATTGAGGTATGTAATCTGAGGTGTTCTCTGATTTATGCTGTGCCATGGTTAGTCTGACTCGGATCTAAACACCAGTGTGTTTTCCACATGTAAAAGCAAATCTTTTGGGCCTGTGTATGTGTCCTCTATACACATGAGGCATTTGTGACTAAGAGCTGCTGGTCTCCTAAAGAATACACTCTGTTATCCATCTTAAGGTTACAGTAGGCTATATTTTTGTTTTTGTTTTGTACTTCTTCCCGACAAGGTTCACACACAAGTAGCGGAATTGATCAGACTGATTCTGTTAATAATGCAAGGATTTACATAATACTTTTGTTTTATAGTTTGAAAGGCTTTAACCTTGTTCATGGAGGCTGATATAAACTCGGATCTAGTTAAATATTAATGAGCTTGTTTTCAGGTCATTCTTCACCTCCCTCTTGAGCACTGATTGCAGTTTTTTTATGTGTGTGTGTGTGTGTGTGTGTGTGTGTGTGTGACTTGAACAATGTGCTGGCCGAAAGGAAGGTGCTGTAACAAGAATTACAGCAGGGTTTGCTGCAGAGATCAAATGAAAGACAGCAGGCGCTTTGTCAGGCCTTTGGGGACACGCAGGAGCTCTGCAATGGATCACAAACAGGATACTTCCTGCTGTGTAACAGCTAGTGTCCATCATGTGTAGCCTGTGGCCTGTATTATGTATTCTAAACAGAGAGGAGGAAATCCTTTACTTAGGTATTCAAACTCCAGCTTTTCCTGTGTCAACAGGTTGGTCCCCCTCTCACACCAGACACTGGATCAGTGGTGTAGTGGTGGTTGGTGAGGTTGGTGTGCTACTAGATGGGTAGGTTTCAGATGAGGAAGTGGGTATACTGTCCTATATGTTCCAGTTTCTTTTTGGCTGATGGTGGCTATACTGTGAACACCCAGAAAGAGAAGTGGGTATACCCCACATACTCACTATGCCACTGCCTATGATACAGGCAGGCCCCTCTAAGTGTATTATATGTCTTTGTTGTCATTATAAATTAATCTGTGAAAACACTGCACATGAGTCCATTTGTTAGACATGTAGGACCTCCTTTACAAACACACCCACTCACACACATGCACACACTCCTCACCTGTCCTATTTTCCTGCTGGATCACCAGTTGTCTCTGGACACTGACGCCTGCAGTGTCAGACTTGTGTGTCATCGTAAACGCAAGTGCTCCTGCTCACTGCTGAAGCGACCATGACAAAACATTTTAACAAGACGTCTCCTCCTGGCACTGCTGTGCAAAGTGGTTATCAGAGAATGTTCCCCTCTCTCCCGCATTTGCGACAAAAACCTCGGCCATTTTGAGGCAGTATTGGCTGGCATTGTGTGGAGGGGAAATAATGGTTATTATGTCCCCAACAAAATCTATGCTGCTGCACTCTCTCTACAAAGACCTGTCCCCTCTGCAATGATTGCCTCCTCAGTCAGCCTTCCTAACCACACAGACGTGCTGGTCGATACTGGACAGACTCTCCTGAGATGATTAATGGATGAAATCAATGAATTTTCCTGATCAGTCACCCAGATTAAATTGAGAAATTTATGGGGTCTGTTGGGCGCTTTGACTTAAAAGCGCATGCTGAGGATTCCTGCGGTTTAATCAATGGCTGTCCTGAAAGACAAGGCTTTTTTCTTTGTTTGATTTGACATTTGTATTTGCAGTAAAACATCACATGTGTCAAATACGGATACGTAGCACTCTAGCTACAGGAAAACTTGAAGTGGAAATACCTGAATATACACCTGTAGGGAAGAACACAGATACGAACAGTTGAGATAGAAGAGAGCAAATCCTAAAAGGTGGCTGTTTACATTTAGAAGATTTATGACAGGTTACATCTTTACTTAAAGGAAACGTGTAGGATGTAGTGGTACCTAACAATGAGGGTTGCAGATCACAGCCAACAGAAACTTCTCCCATGTGCCAAGCATGAGCACCTTGTTAGGATTCTGTCAGTGTTCATTATTCAGGAGGTTTTTACTGGAAGCTAAAATATTTGCAGAGTTCTCCTCCTCTCCAAAACAAACAGACAAGGTGATTAAAACTGGTAAAACCACTGAATAAAACAGTTTTAAGTTACATGTACAAATCAGTGTTTCTCCTACGCTGCAGAAGGGCTGCTAGCCCGGCACCTGCTAATGAGTGCTCACCTTTTTTCTCTGATAGCTTAAGATCCAGACGTTCAGGAGGTTTTAAGCAGGTGCGGAATTTTCCGCAGAGGTCTCCTCTTCTACAAAAAAAACTGACTCCGTGATTCAAATCAAGCGCTGACTACAGCAGTTTCATGTTAAAATGAATCAGTTTTTTCTGATGCTGGATGTTGCTGAAGGGCTACTAACTACAGTGGCCAAAGTGAAAACATAATTGGCCCTATCCAGAGCCAGTGTTAAGTATGTCTGTTCTGGGCCCCTGTAGCATGGTGGTGCAATATGGTGGTCTCTGTGGATGAGGACCTGCTTCTTATATAGATATAAACAGCAACTTTAAGGTAATGAGAAAGTGATTCTTATTTTCAGGTGCTTATACACTAAAGGAAACCTATTATATTTAATTTCTACTAATATAACCCCCTAAATCCTACACACTGGACTTGTAACAAAATAACAGATTACAGATTCACAGTGCATCAAGTTAAAAATCAACATGTCCTTTTCTCAGTGGGCACTAATGAAGCCAAAGCTGTGTTGCCCTTTCCTGCCTATTTCTCAATTGTTTGAACCATGTCAGGGCTCTACAGTCATAAACAAACTGCCTGCTGTTGCTGTTATTTGTCAGTGTAGCTGCTGGTGTGTGTGGACTGGGCCCTGCTGATGAGCTTGTGGACACAGCTGAGGTAGATATTGTTGTGTTGACATGCTGACTGCACTCCCCTGGACCTTGAGCTTGAATTTACGAGCCGGTGAGAGCTCCTCAGAGACGCACTCACTGTTGGTCAGGGGTGGTTTATTCCCTCCACTCCACCTTTCTCCTTCCATTGTTCCTCATCTCTTTGTGTACTGCGATTGTCGAGGTGTCATCGGATCGGAGCTGCTGTCTTGTTTCGCAATTCCTCCTTTTTTCAAGCATTTCGGGATAAGCCAGCTACTTCAGCTGTGTAAACGGTTTTTGTTTTGTCAGATACCTGCGAGAGTGCCAGATTGTGAGCTTTTTGTTTCTTCAGCTGTGTTTCCCCCCCTCTCATCTGAGCATCTCTGTGTTGCAGGCTTTACAGTCTGCAGTGGCTTCAAAAGAGGTTTTGCCCTGGTGATTTTCACCTCTTTACTCTGTGTCATGACTTATAATGTCACATTCCTTTTTGTAAACAAGCAGCATTTTTTTTTTCAGTTTCACTCGCTTGTGGAGAATCTAGGGTGAGCAGCTGTGTCTTTTCTGGAGCTAATTCAGAAATAGGGTGCAGGCTACAACCACATAGCAGGTTTACCCAGAGAATTGCATCACACTGAGGCATTCACTGATATGACTCCCACTGGATTAATGGAATACAGAATATCTGGAACAGTTAATACATTTGGTACATTTTATTCTCTGCTGACTTAAGCAAGCGAGATTATGACACACAGTGTAAAAATGATGTTATGCAACATAGAATCATAAAAAAATGTTGGTGTCACATATATCAACATGTGTCTAAATTCAGGGCAAGATTGAGCTTGTATGGAAAAGACTTGTTTAAAAATGTCAGCATTAACTCATTCTGGTGGAGTTACTTTGGCTTTTTAGGGTCTGTTTGCAAACATAGACTAGTCAGAGTGGACAAGCAGGTCCAATCAACAGAAGTGCAGAAATGCTGGATACTTTTTGCATAGCAAGAGGAAGAAAAAAATGACTTTGGCGCTGTGCTTATTGCTCTTTGGTTGCAGCCCTCTTGCAGCAGCAGTTTTCCTCTTATCATCTTAAGTCTTAATGCGTGCTTGGCTGTGTGTTCTTGTAGGCGAGCATTGATATTAAAGTGTGCTCCTGTGTGCCTCCATGTGTGTATTTGCTCTGGATATGGGCTGATAGTGAACAATTGCATGTGAATGAATGCCCCCAGTTGGCTGTGATTGTCGGGGCGGGTGCTATGGTGCCATCTGTTAGCAGGGCTGAATGATTCCTTGTGAGGGCTTTTTGTGTGCCCCCTGAAAAGCAAGGACAACCCAGGGTGTCGTTACAATACAGAGGTGATCAAGATACCAAGCAGAGTCGGAGGCAAAGGCAGACTGTTGGTGATGTTTCACGCCTGGAAAAAAAAACAGAACAACAATCAGTAGCACTTGAATTTGATAATGATCTCTCAATAGATCGTTGTGGGTGGTGGAGCACAGCCTTCTGTAGGCTGTCTCTTCTTGTCTCTAAGCTGTAAAGATTGTCTCTTTGACTTCCATGTTCTGCTGTGTCAGTCAAGTTGAAGGCAGCGGCATGTGCTCCATCAGGCGAGAATCAGTCTCACTCGCCCTTGAATTTGTAGATTAGCACCTAAAACCTTGCTTTCAATTGTTGGGACAGCCCTGTATCCCTTTGAATCCTCTTAGTGACAAGAAACACTGGGTGCTTATAGATCTGCAAAGGGACAGGTACTAATCCCAGAGCCCTACCCTTCTCTGTCTGCTCATACACACACTCATACGCTCACTCAGTTCACTCCCCCACTCACCCACTCATTCAGTCAAACCCTCATTTCTAAGCTCTGCAGAGGAAAACTGACTTTGAAGTAGCACAGAACAATGTGAGTCACCTGCGTGTAATATAATATCAGTGGTGTTCGCTCAACATTGAAGTTTGATCTGTGCTCTGTGACTAACAGTGGGAAGGGATGTCTGATTGAATCTGAGCCTTTAATCTCCGTCCTTAAATTTCCTCAAAGAGGCCTTCCTGCCACTCGGTTCATCTACAGTTTTCTGTCTCTGTCTTCTTTTCACCGCCTTGGCTGTTTCTTCCTCCATGCCCATGCATGTCTCCTGGAGCGATTCCACCGACAGACACACTCTCAGCTCATCCTGGGG